GTTCTTCTTACTCTAGTACGTCCACTTTCTGTTGCCCTGAAACAAGGAAAACAAACTTGCATTAGTAAAGTCACACGTGTTGGTTTTTGATACTGCTACGAACGCAACTTTCATGAAGCGCGTCAACTGTGGTGCTGATAAAAACCATCTACATTCATATATTATAATTTATCAACCCGGCTATGTAATTTACTACAGTGGATATTGTATAATTTGAATCAATTTGATCTTGCCTGTAAACTGGCATGCCTCATGTAACAAACTGTCATTTGAGAATAGGTTATTATTATTACTTGTATGATGTGATCCATTTGATTTCTTGTCGTATTATATCACACACGTACTAATGCATTGATGCATTTAAAAATCCACATAATTATTATCATGGGAATAAAAAATTTTGAAGAATGTGTAATGTAATTGTCGAGATCAAGTGAATAGCTTGCTGGTCGTATCAAACAAGTAGGAAGCAGTTATATTAGCACCTGGTTATCGGGACACTTATTTGATACACTTTACATTATGAATAACCTAAAGTATTACTAACTACTATGGGTGTATCTGAATAATTCGAAGCTCAATACATATCGAAAACGAAAGCTCTAGGATTAGCCTAATAATTATATTCTCAAGTATCATTTGAATATTTCAGACACTCCCGTCTATACTACTGTGAAGTGGTTAGCATGTAAGTATTTAGTCCTTACCAGGAAGAGATTTACATTGTTTAAATCAGCTAACTAATTTGTCAATTAAGAAATAATTCTCATTCAAACATCAGGAATACGAAGTTCAACGAAGAGGACTCTTTTCAACGAACTTACTATCAAGCTGTACAATCATATGTATCCGTATGAAGAAATATTTTCCTTAAACTTCTGGTTTCGTGAGTAAATGTGACCAATAAATAACTAAGATCATATAATAGAATGACTATAATATTTGATATGAAGACTAATAAGAATAACAACATTAGATTTTATAAATTAGTAAAGAAGTATAACGTGAATGTCGTAAGATGGTTCAAAATAAAGTCTATAATAAGAGGAGTATGAATATGAATAGTTTGGTTACCTAACAATTATACGGTAAAAATATAAGTATAGTATTGTTTTATAGATGGATCCCATAGTTACCATTCATTATGCTTATCGGAACCTAACACATTTCCCTTTTTTTAAAGATCCGTGGTTAATATTCGAATTTAAAATTGCTGGAAATGTCGTACAGCACAATACATAGCTAGAAGTTCCCTACCGAGTGTGCTGTACCTCGATTCGTTGTCTAGTAACCGTCTAGAGAAAAATGCCAGGGGTTGCCAGGAGTTGTTAACTCATTGTTGTAGGACTTCTCCGATTGCCGAGTCGGATGCGTCTACTGCGATACTAATGGGTGCTTCGGTGTCGTAATGTGTGAGCATTGTTGCTTTAGCGATCAGTTCCTTAAATGTGGAGAATGCTTTTCTTGCGGTGTCGTCCAAATTAATGGATTTCGCATTTCCACGAAGTTGGTCGGTAAGAGGTCTCATAAGTAATGCGCATTTCGGTATGAAACGTCTATAGAAACTAACCAGTCCGTTAAACGTTCGTAATTGTTTGACGCTGGTCGGTTCTGGGTAATCCAGAATGGCCTCCACTTTGGTCCTAAGTGGTCGAATGCCTTGAGCATCTATAATGTGTCCAAGGAAGTTTAATGAGTCGGTTCCGAATTGGCATTTCCAAGTTAGAATTAATTTGAATTCGTTTAAAACATGTTTGGCGCACTGAACAGAGAATCGACTGAAAGTGACTAAGTGGTGGGGCTAAACGTCGGTTGATATGAGATAATTGAAGTTTGATTCTTCTGAAATATTGTGACCGACTTTATTGGGAACATCACTGGTAGATAGTAAATCACAATGATAATCAGCGACCATCAAAACTGCACCAGGTGTTGATTATCATTTGATGCATCCGATATAATTTCTGGTAAAATGGAATCTCGGTAATTAGATTCGTCAATCATTAGATCGATCTGGAGCAGCTACAGTCAGTGTACTGCTTGAATTGTTTTTGTTTCTTCGACTGCGATTACCGCGACAACTTCATAAACATATAATAGGGAATCTTTCTGTGAGAAGGATAAACCAATGTGTGCACATTCTGTTTTGGGGATAATGGAGTATGAATCCATTACAGGGCATGTTTCTGAAATGCAGAGTACTGGACCACTGGCCGGATCTTGAATGACCGCTGTTTCACTTAAAGTACGGTTTGTCGAGGATTCATGGAGGCTGCAATCATTTCCCAGCTCAGTGTGCAATTGAGAAATTAATTCATTCACTTCCGTCGCATTTCCAAAGCATGAGTGATTCCGCAGCTGTGTGCGTAATTTGATTAAGAACTCCAACTGCCGCTCAAAAAGCACTTATAATCGATCGGAAGGCAGGGTCGTTTTTTTGAATTAGCAGCGGTAATGAAAAATACTGTATGAAGAAATAACAACCAGTATCTTCCAAGTTCACTGATGACAAATCTGGATGCTGATTTCTCGAAAAAATTAAAAACTGAATTTCGTCCTATTACAGGCTGATTTTGGATCGTATTATTTTTACTCCGTCGCCAGTTCTTTAACTTGAAGCCTGACTGCCCTGTCAATGGATAACTTAATAATACCACCAATCAGAAGGCAGTGAATTATCCATCGGACCAAGAACACGTAAACATGTACGAGCAGCCTAGAGTCCTGATTGGTCTTGATTTCCGTCTAGTCCAGCCAGTTAAGTCCAGAACACCAACCTCAGCCTCTGCAATATGAACCATGTATTTCAAGCATACTCGGTTTATATACCAATCAAACAGACCGCAACGTACCATAAAATAGAAAACAACATTTGTACAAGATTTGGCCAAATGTGGCTGTGAATGTGGGAGGCAGTGACTAATAGACAGGACATAATTCAAGAATGATAAGACGTGTAGCAATGGCACATAGGTCAAAGTAAAGCCTAAAATAAGAGGAGTATGAATATGGATACTTTAGTTATATACGTTTGGTATTTGTCCATAATTGGAGTCCAAAGTTACTATTCATCAGGCTTATCGGGACTTAACAGAATAGTAAACATCACATTAGAAGTGTTTTAACTAAAATACACAAGAAGAGTATCAATTAACTCAATAATCACGAGAATTTGATCATCACAAAAGCTGACAAAAGAACAGGAATTTTTCTACATGACAAAAATGATTACATTGACAAGATGAATCACATCTTGAATGATCTACAAACGTTTATGATACTGAATCACTCGTCAAATTAGTTTTTTATGTTTCTTCTTAATGTAGCGTCGTTTCTCCTCGTAAGCAGAACAACTGGAAAGGCTATTCTACCTCCGACTTCTTCTACTGTTATTATCTATATTAGTATTTACAACCAGAAATAAGGCCTTTCTATTATAACAGCTTGGTTATTCCTTGTTCGTATTTTCTCACAGAACGAGCTCAAATGGTGAGGTCCTCAGAAGTGACGTCATTATTCACAAAGGTACATCTCAGAGAAATTGTGGAAACTTATTGGAAACAACATGGGGAACAAGAAACGAAGAATTCAATCCTTGCGGGTAGCATCAAGGAATTATTACCAAAATGTACTGAGAACGTGTATGATAGGTCTTGTCGAATGAACGCTATATTTTGTTTTCCTAAGCTATTCTGGTAACCCACAGGCTAGAACTACACAGCGACTTGAACACAAGAGAGAAGACGCCAGTATGAGAGAAAATAATTTACTCCAAGGTTCATTTTTGTGCAGAAAATCATGGGTGTTTATAGATGTTAGCGTCTGTTAAATCAACATCATATTTCAGCCAATCCGTTAACGTCATATTATGTTATCGATCAATAGTAGCACGCCACGTTGGAATTCTAGAATGTTCCGTCATACTCTGATTGATTAGGACTCTTCGGCTCTGTTCGGGCCTTTAGAGGCTCCGTTGAAGTTCTCCGGAAGCCGACTCAACAGTATATTTCAAATTCGATGATGAAATGTATAGATAAATAGATGGTGATCACAATATGGACCCATTTCCTCTGAAAATTTTTCTCTTAATTACAGAACGATCCACTGACACAAAAGTGTGACAAATGTTCTCCTTATTAACGATTAATGGACGATAAGTTTATTCTTTGTAATGAGCATACTGTTTCGACAAATGCATTTGGGCGATTCAATGAATTTCTCACGTCCATATAGTTCACATGTGAGGAAGAAAATGCGTACAGGATAGCTCTTTTAGACGTTTTATTTACAAGGTGAATCGACGGGTCATTTAGAAGAACCATGAGAAAGCTACCAGGATGGGTGATTCAGTTTCCAAAGATTTTGATAATCATTCAAGATGTTTCTCATTTTGCCAATGAAGTAAAATTCGTAATGTTGGAATTTTGCAGTTCTATATTTGGTTACCGTGATAATCTAATTCTCGTCTTTATTGAGTTCATCGATAGCCTCCCTGTGTTTTTTAGCTAACATACTTATGTAGTTAAATTTATTATACTTAAACTGATAACAATATTACAATAATCTTACTACATTCGCATTGTTATTCGTTACCACCGTTTCAAGTTTTTTGTTTTACATGTACTACGTAATCTAGTATTGCAATAAATGGACAACGTAATCATGATTATTCACAGTTAGCATGTTTTCACAGAACGTGTATTACAACAAACGATCTTCATATCTGTATACGACTGTACAACCTGATATTAAGTTCGTGTAAACGAATTCCTTTAAATGAAGTTGGAGTTCTTGAAATTTTATAAATCAGTTTGAAGCTTGAAATTAAACCGTTTTTTGATGTGTATTAAACACCCGAAGATCAGTGATAAGGTATCAAAGAATTGTTCTCAATCACCTGAATACGTTTTCAATCACATACCTGATTTTCATCACCACTTGCCTTCATTGATGTTTATATGAATATCAAGAAACCCATGAAAACATTCAAAACTCGCAGATAAATTTATGATATTTATTATTAAAGCTATTTAATTCAACTGAAAATCAGTTCTAGCATAAACAATTACTTTATGTTATTTAGTCTAAAATTCATGGGAGCTTGATTTATTTAAACTGGCATTTGATTTTCCTTATATGTTGAAATAGAGAATATTTCGACGGCACCCGGACCAGATTGTTTGTTACATTCATGTGCTTTTATACCGATACGTGATATATTAGATACATGTGAAAGGGCTGAATTATATCGAAGTGTTCCACGAAGACACGATGTGAAATTTCCAAATTGTAATTTTATTTTTTGTCCTTTTCCAGTCGTCTATAAATATTTCATAGAAAACATATTGAAATATTCTACATAATTAAATCTCATATTACCTCGAAAAACGTTTCATATGGTATATCCGGACGTTTTCCATAGAAGAACAATTTGAAATGGGAATGTGAACCCTGTCTATATAGGTCAATTATTACACCGTCATATGCTGGCAAAACATCATCAGCTACTATCCTGTCAACTCCAGCAAAGCTTGATCCATTTTTTAGTGGAGTGAGAAGAAAAGAAGAAAATTGCTGATTGGTAATTCTACACATGTTGTTGGCTGAATTATATATATAAATAAAATTTACATGTCCTTTGAGTCGTACTAGTGTAGCCTTAGATCGCCCTCCAAGTATAGTTGCATCTGATATCTCAGTCCAATTTTCAAACGCAGTGGTGTTAGAATCAGTGAAGTTAAAGATAGTGAGATTGGCCAGATCACTTCGCCGTGTAATGGTGTTTTTAAATTAATTTTCCCTCACAGATTTGCAAGTGTTGAGTAATAGAGTTGTCAATATTGCCACGATAACGGAGATATTTCCAATTGTCATTCTGATATGAAACAGATAAGAATTCAGTTAAGCTGTTTATCTGTAAGGTAAAATAAAATTATAATTGAAGTTCACATTAAAAATATGTTATCAGTATAGTGTGAGACGGTTTTGCAATATTGTAGACTGACTAACGTTAAACACGAACACTGTTAAGTACTCAATCAGTGGTCAAGTAAAGCAAAACATAAATTGACTTTTGATTATAAAAATGACATCAGTAAAGGGTGAGACTGTTGCGCAATATCGCGACTGGTTTGATGTTATACATTTACTTAGTACTGAATCGGTGGACTATAGATGAAGCGTTCGATCGCCGTGGCGGTTCTTTAGTTCGTGCCTATCATGTGGCATATTTAATGGCCACTAAGCTACCGACTGTAAATTATTATAAACCCTTATCTGTGTCACTGTTTCAAAAGCATGCTTTTATCTGTTTGCTGTCAATCACTTCACAGTCAACTATAAAATTACTGAAACAGAGTGTAGTGTTGATTACCACTGCTCCACTCTTAAAATCTTTACATTGATTTGGCAGTGTTTCTTTTTAAAACTCTAGTAAACTACCTCAAAGGTAAACACGAATAAGTACGGTGCTGATAGTTAGATTTTTATCATCAATATTAAAGAATGACGGTGTTATGCTACGCGAAGGTCAAACCGTTGAATTGTAAACATTCAGTCTAAAATGGAGCCTTAAAAATAGCATCCAATTGACCGAATTTAAAGTTCATGTAAAGTTTACCGCGATTCCGTAGTTCATTCCAGATCTTGATAAAACTATCGCTGATATACATTTTGCTCCAGAGTTTCATTGCTTGTTAACATGATCTCCATCAACTGAAGTGTATCTATATCATGTTTCTCATGTTTAATAAAAATATAAATGAGGTTGTTTGATAATATCTGTGAGAGGAATGTCATATTTAAAAGTTATTGTCAGCCTTCAGAATATCCTGGAAAAACTTAACAACCTTGCAGACATTCACTCAATACCATTTTTATGATTAGAATGCACGGTGCAGATTGCGTCAGTGAGATAATGGGAACCAAACTCATTATGAAATATCACCACATAATCGACAGTATTTCGAAAAATATGCAGACGTATCTCCTACTTCTGTTTTGGAACCACGATAGTGTTAGACCTAACCCGAAAATTTTCGATTATATTGACATGATTACCTAATCCATACGATTTAAAATGGAAGTCTCAAAATTGGCCACACTGACTCCTCTGATCGTGAATATCAGAAATGTGACGTCCAGCATTTCTTAAGAACACATTTGAACAAAGAAGGGGACAAAATATTTGATGAAGAAACAAGCAAATTGTTATCAATAGTGACCAAGTCCTGAATACCGATTCATACAATTTCGATTGATTGTCGACACGTACACTATTATTGACCTCTCCGGCTCAAGTCCTTTTTACGTAGATTACCAACTTAAACTCCGAAGTTCACACTCACAACTTCGGTCGATACTCAATATTGCAATTCCATCATCCACCTACTGTATGGAACTGCACTAAATAATGATGACTTTTATTTCACAAAGCTTGTACGAGTTGCCGACTACATCGATTTGTTATATTTAACTGTTTCTTTAATTGATAAATTATACAGAAGTGTGAACATATATTTCAGTGGTAAATTAACTAAGCTAATGAACATTTGAATAACTTACCCTTAGGGTAGAATATCTTGTGTCTTCAAAAGATCACATACTCAGTCGCTTTTATACCTTTATTTCACAACGAGATTATGAGTTTCAACCAATCAGGTTATCGCAAATACAATCAGACTCATAATGGTTGTTGAGGCTGTGATACAAAGATCAGCTGATTACATATGGTGGTCGTGTGTGACATTAATGCATGACATCATTACGAAATTATATCAAGAGCAATTTAATCAAATTAACATGAGTTCACTAGTTACACACACGCACACACAAGCAGATGATTGATCGGTTTTCAAATGAAGGGCAATATAAAATTGTGATGTAATTCAAGTAAATTAAAGAAATCAATCGTAATTTTCTTGTAGTTTACATCACAGACAGACTTAAGTAATTCTTCACTCAAAATTAAAAACAGTTAAACTGCTGTTTAGTTTAATGATATGACTCTTCAGAGTGTATCGAATACCCAAACGTTTGTACAGATTTGTATGACTGTGACGTTGAAATATTTAGTGAAACTGATAATGAACTTTTCTAATTCGTATTGACTGCTTTTGTACATCGGAAAATTATTCAAATGTTATCTTACCTCAGTGGTAATCTGTTTAAGCGAAAACCACAGTTTAATTCATGTAATTTACCGAATAAACAAAGTGTTAGTGAATAATGTAATATGGAAATGAAGCCAGCGTTCAAGGTAAATGTCTTCGAAAATGAGAAAGAATAGTCGAAGGTACAAAGATAAATCTGATAGACTTATTATTCCAGTCAGATTCTGATTCCTTCACTTAACTCCTCATTCTGCTTTAAAGTACGTACTACCCTGTAATATTTTTTCTTGTTCATCACGGTATTATGGCATATTGACTGAGTGACGGTTTATTCATGATCACCAAAGTATGTATTGAATAGTTGTGAGAATTACTACTTGCTATATTATATTACAGTCACCAGCTCTATTTTCAATAATGATCAAGATTTCTGATTAACTTACGATATTGAATGGTGTAAAGGGGAAGGGACAGCAGAGAAATATGCAACTTGAGTACTTATGAGCTACAAATATCAATGGTGGACTCGATGGTTTCAAATAAATTGAGTATTTTGTAGAGATTTGATAATACGTATACTATTTGTTGTATCCCAATGAGCAGGTGGACGGTATTTCTGACGGTTTGTGACCTGATGTAAGGCACTTCTTCAGAGTAAATATATAAGCGACGTTTAATTACCTCAAGTTCAGATGGTACTTAACACTCTACCAATATGTAATTAATGATGGCGTACTCAATAGGACTCAACGTGATCCGTTTTAGTCTTTCACTTGCATATATATAACGAAATTACCAGTTAGCATATACAACAATAGTATTGGAACCACTCCACTGACTATTGAGTACTCAGATTCTGGATATGGGAACGTTGGAATTACATTAGCCTTTGGAATATGAGACGAGTTCAATTACACAATTTGCAATGTTTATAATAATTGATGAGTCATGCACTTTACTTACAGCATCACTCTCTAGCTAATATTATTCTTTCATATGTGTTTACAGTTTTTTGTAATTATACACTAACCCATTTGTAACCACTTATGTGTGTGTTGAACAGATTTAAACATGCACACTTCCTTCATTGTCAGCAATGCAAATACCTATTTCATCTAGACGATTCTCATTGGATTTCAGTGTGGATGAAGTTGAAATACATAAATCGGAATAGAGATACCACCAGTTAAAATTCTGACAAACCATTAATGAAAACCAATGTAGTGAAGAACAGTAAAGTAAACTGTGTTTATGGTAAATCTGATCATCTGGTATATCTTAATCCTGACATTTTATCCCTGTATCACGTCACCATCCATTTGACTAGATGTATTCATCAAAACCCTAATTCTGCTTGTAGAAAACAGATGGAAATTGTGTTAATTAGTCGTTGTCCAATCAGAGTGTCTATTCACTACAGCTTAAAGTAAACCATCATATCCGTTACAGTCATTAATAATGTTTCTCAAACTAATCAATCTGTTTGGGATGCTGCGATACGTATGAAGTTGAAAACACACCAGATGAATCTTTGAATATTCTGAAAATATATTTCTTCTATTGCGGATAATACGAAGTGTCATTTCAACATGATGTATATTGACTCCCTGATTCGTTAGATGATTAATTAATTTTCCAAATGATGAAAAGTGTAATGATGAATTCGGACTATTTCAGCTGAATGGATTCCAAAAATGTAGGGTTTATTGATCACAGTATCAATTCTTATTGTATCAAATGTCGATATGATCGAATACAGACTGGTTTATGACATTGTATTTTGTGCATGGCATTACCCATTTTGACACTGTGAACTGTGGTTCAGATGGTTATCCTCAAAGTTGCGTACTCATGATGAGATACTGATCATTAAATTTCTCAAAGTTTTCTTCGAACCTTTATAGTGAGTACTCTAAGTATTAATATATTTTTCAATTCAGTTCAAATGATTTCAATCACAGTTACATATAATGTGTAAAATGGATGGATACAAAACTGCAAATACTGACAATAGAGACGCGATATCTCATATCCCTCACTGAGTAACTATTATGTAAACGTGTTGATGAGTAAATGTATTGCAATTAGCCATGTTGTGGTTCCGTTATTATGGTTATTGTTTAATTAGATTACTTGGTGAATACTTTGACGAGACTTGAAGTGGTTCAACATATAGGCGATCACTTCACACAACGACAATCGTCAAACAACACGTAGGTACATCCACATGAAGCCCGCAAGTTCAATTTTCAACAAATACCTTTTCAAAAATATTTCAATATCGTATATTAGTTACAGCGCCATTGCTTATTGCGTCGAACCTCTTAGTGAACAACTACATACTACTTTGTCGTTTTGTACATATCAGACGCGTTTTATCAGTTCTGACTCTATGCATAAATATCTGGCGAGAATTCCATATTTCTCATTATTTCACCTTGAAATTGTAAACGTACATCTGTCACTGGGTGTTTGGTCAATTCTACGTAATATATTGTGCATGATATTAATCGTATTCACTTTGTTAACTGTAGTTTACATGATTGTCCTCAACTTACTAATGATGAACACGAATCATTGCAAAATAAAATAGTCTTAACAAATTGTACAGTCATCTACTGCATTCAAATTATCCTTTTGATATTCTGTTGATTGTAGCCCAAAGTGGATGTTTAGCGTTGGTGCAATGAATGGAGTTATCCAAGTTATATTTCCACAAATCAGCAATGTGATCGACAAGTAAACATAATACAGATCTTTGATTTCAGCTCACCATCACTCACATCAAATGTGTGCGCAAGATTTCATTTTCAGATGATTAGCTATTAGTAATTCAATCAGCTTAATTATATGATTTGATCCTTCTAGTTATATCATATATATACTATTGCAATGACACACTCTGAAATTTACAATGGCATTGTGTGTAGTTACATGACGAAAATCTACATAAACATTATCATATGAATAAAACGTTTTTGAAGAATTTGAGATGTAATTGTCGAGATCAACTGAATGACTTACGTGTTGTGTGCAGCAAGTACGAATCCGTAGGATTAGGACCTGATTATCGGAACATATGTTTGATAATTTTTAAAGTTTTAAATAACCTACAACACAAGCAACAGCTATGTGTGTATTGAAAAGATTCGAAATTCAATGCATATTGAAAACGAAAGCTTTAGGATCTGCTTAAAAATCATGTTCTCGAGCATCATTTGAATGTTTCTGACACCCACGTTTATACTAACTACTGCGGATAGATAGCAAGTGCGAATTCAGTCTGTGCAGGTTTACTCTATACATTGGTCAATTCTTCATTGAGCAAACTTACTAACATAAACTCGATAGCAGAAGACAACCGAATTAGAGCTAGTCGCTCTGTGAAACATGGAGACTAGGTCGAGTGTATATAGCGAAACAGTTTGAAAGACGAAAATCGACTACACAATGAAACCAGTTATTATCGTTTAAAGCTTATTCTATGGTTTGATTTGATGTAGAAATACAGAAAACCTGTTAATATTCAACACAAGGCCATTTAATTCTTTTTGAACAGAAATCTAATCGTGTTCGCAACTTGTGATTGTCTGAAATTCGTGCCAAACAAATCACCTGAACACTGATGGAATGACAAAGTGATAATACCGTTGTTGAAACGAGCTTACTAATTTACCGATTAACAGTTTTTTTCCATTTAAAATTAATGACCAGCATCCTCCATCCCACCCAATCCTGGGCTAACCTTTACACTTCTATCCAACTTTTGTTCGTTCATCTCATGTCTGTCTCTGTTTCTCGGCGTAACGTGTTCTTTGATATCCCTCCTTTATTTTGACCTTGAGGATTTCACGTGAGTGCTTGCCTTGTGACGCAGTTGGGCGCTTACCTCTATGTGTCTCCTATCCACTTCCAGTGCTTCTTCCCGATTTCTTTCTCATCTGGCATCCGGTTTGTTCTCTCTCACATTAGGTTGTTGTTGATAGGGTCTGGCCAACGGATCCAAAATATTTTGAGCAGACAAGTGTAAATAAACACATGTACCTTCTCGATGATGGCTTTTGAAGTTCTCCAAGTTTCCGTTCCATGCAGTAGAACTGTTATGACATTTGTATTGAAAATTCTGACATGGGTGTTGATTGACATTTTTTTGAGTTCCGGATATTCTTGTTATTATGCTGTTCTTGCTTTGCTGATCCACCCCTTCACATCTACATCAGATCCATTGTGTTCGTTGATGATCTTCCAAAACATTTCCGTCAAATGTGATTCGTTTGTTGCATGCTGTGTTGCATCGGAGAATGTCGCATCTCCGTTTGTGTATATCGAGACCTATTAGTAGTGAGGATGCAGCTACACTGTTCATCTCCTTCTGCAATTGTTCTTGTGTGTGCGATAAAGGAGTCAGATAATTTGCGAAGTCTAGATTGTCCAGCTACATCCTAGCTGTCCAGTGTATCCCACTCTTTCCCATAAATG